GAGCGACAATTCCTTCCAAATCGACTTACAGGGAAATACACGCTCCTGATTGGTTAATTACCTCTACCATAATGCAGTTCGGTGCATGGCCAACCTCCTATGCCTTCCTTCCGGCTTACTTTTTCTACATCCGCTGACCAGTATATAAAGCGTTGTTAGTTGCTTGCGCCCAAGTCGGAAAATATTTATTCACAAAGTGATTTGTTTCTGTTGCAATGTTTCTTATTCGTGGATTGTTTCTGCACCGTTGACAGCGTATGTTTTTTAGCTTGAAATTCTCACTGTTAAACCAGTTCAATGCTATTCAATTGAAGTAGCGCCTTTTATGATTAACTTGAACGTAACACCAGGTCACAAGTCACATTTATAAAGCTTATAAACGACTGGAAAGTCTGTAAGGGGAAGAGGTTCATTCTCCTCGATTCGATTGTCAGGGGAAGTCTTCATCGTTTTTCCTTGTCAGTCCTATCTGACACTAGTGATAACGTAGAACTCAAGTAAGGCTAACATATTTTGAGTTTGAAATCGACCGTGATCCACCGTCCAAGGAAAAATAGAAGGAACTGCATTCCTAACAAGATCATGTCTACTGCCATAATCGTTTGATGGGAAATGTTCGGAACAGCAGAAGAGTGATGTATTAGAAGCAAATTTTTCGTCACTACGTTCCATCCTTACCATCCATATTATAGTTCATTTTCTCACTATCAGTTAGTTAGGCTCTATTCTCTACTTGATCTCTGAAATTGGCTCTAAACCGCAGATACCGGGATGGATCACCATCAAATGGAGCTTGTGCAGGTGGTGACTGTACATTATTCTGAGCTCCATCTTTTCCCAGAAGTCTGCTCGAGGTTTGTAGTCAGCCTTCGCAGTGGTGTGAGAGTCTCCTTCAGCAGCAACTTGGTTCACGGTATCTGCACGGCACTGCTATTGACAATGTCTTGCCACGAGGGAGTAGTTGGCAAGGTAAATTGTGGTGCCTTTGTATATAAGGTATCTTTCAGTTCTGCTGCTGGATTAGGTGCATTTGAATGTTTCAATAATTCTTCATCCCATGCTCTGTAACTGCTGTGGCCTTCCTTGACAAATGTTTCCTGTGGGTGTAGTCCATGTGAGTGACGCCAATGATAGCACTCTGGGTCATCACCAGGGTCATCAGAGCTCAAATACTGCTCCCCATTTTCTTTAATTGCTTTTCGTAGACTTTCCTAATAGCAGCGGCAGCTGCAAATTCTGCCCTTAGCCTTGCCCTTTCTGCTTCTTTCCTCGCAGCTTCAACATTCTCAAGTTAAGCAATCCTTGCGTCTAACTCTGCTTGCCTTGCCTTGGCTTGGAGAGCCCTGGCTCTAGAGAAAGTGGTTGATGTATGTGAAGTTTTAGAGCTCTTTGCTTTTTCGCTCGACTTAGTTGACTTCTTTTCCTCATTAATGCGTCGACCAGCATCAATCATCCATTTCTGGATAGTTTCAGAAAAAAGCTCTACTTTAGTATGCGGGTTGTCATACACCATACACTTGAATGTCAGGTATTTGGTCTTCTTTAGTGACAAGTTCTGTTTCTCCTCATGAAGATCACCAAACTCTTTAACCCACTCATTTCATTTCACAGATTCCTCACCAACTAGTTCCAAATTTTTATCAAGTCCCATAAGTGTACTAATGCTGGCAATCCATGACTGTATTTCTCTTTTGAGCTTGTTCTCTCCCTTTTTAGTTTTCGGTTAGCTTTGGTTGTCTCCTTTCAATAGCAGTCCAGTCCAATTCCAAATTTCCTTCTCCATTCTGAAACATGCATGTCAATTTCAATAGCGGAATCGATAATTCCGTTTTCTCTTGTAGAATAGCCCAACTCGTTTCCATAGGCTCCTAACATTGTATAATATGCCTGAGGCTCACGCATCGCTTTTTCATCTGGAGTTTCGGCGTGTTCATGTGCCGTGGTTTGGTCATCGTCGCTTGCAAGATCCCACATCGACATCCTGAACAATCAATTTCGAAGTTGTGGTTTCGACAAACAAATCCTTCGCCACCAACAATCGAAGAACTCGAAACCACAATTGGACACAAAATAATGCCGGTATCAAAACCCAACGACAGAAACGAAATGATGCTCGAAGAACGATAATTTAAAACCAAACAAATTCCAAACAGCTTGTGTAATTCAGCGAATCGAACTGTAAGAGCCAGTTTCCAATTCCCTCAGTTTCAATAGGCAAGAGTCACTCTAGTTCCACTGACTTTAATTCGACTAGTACTCCAATGAGACGCTTTTGTTTGCTTGTACATAATTCCATCAATCGTCTGCGTCTTTATCCGTCTTATCCGTCGTTACTTTGAGTGAATCACATGAACACAAAACTACATCGTTTTGTCAACGTTCGCCATTACATGCACACTGGAAAAAGTCACATGACTCAAAGGCAGGAACTAAACTGCAGGAACACTACATGAACTGTTCAGGGAACCCAGCAACGAAAAATACTGGAACAAAAGTTTGAAGGAACCATAGGCTTTAGATACAGAGAGGCATTCTTAAATAATAGTTTTCAGGAATTAATGCCTACGCGTAGGTTATAGAGACGTCTTTCGTCAATACATAGTCTATGGATATGTAAGTCCAGATGTACCAGTATTATCAGATAAAGAGAAATCTTAACTGAAGTGACAATTTTGGTAGTTCCGACATTTCTTAGGCCAGGTCTTTGTGTTTGGTTTCTTTGACACTTTCCTTTAATGCCTGTTTCTAATGCCTGTTTGTTGCTCAGCGAACGATGATGACGATGGGTTTAACTTGATTCAGCCATCACTCATCCAACAGTTGAGGTCCATCCTAGATCAGTATCCTGATGACGGACAGATACTAAAGGTAAAATACAGTACTTTCATGCAAAAATCTCCTAGATTGTAGGGAAGCAAAATTCCTTCTATCTGCCACAGTAAGGTTTGCAAATATCACGACATAGTTTGTCTACCAAATAATATAACACATAGCAGATTGAACTACCATGGATCAATCCATGGATCAATTAAGAACTGAATTACAACGTCACCTTCACATTCATGATAAAAACCAGCGAGGCTCTGTATGAGAGCACTTCATTTCTTTTAAAATCTGTCTTTGAGAATTAAACTCGTGCATTTTTGAGTTAGATGTTAACCATTTTCCAGTAGTAGCATATGTATCTTTACGATTGTTAATCACTCTTGTCTCTCGTGTCTAGGAACTGATTCAGAATGCTGAGGATGCAAATGCCAGTCGAGTGAAGTTCTTGCACGACAAACACAGTCATGACACAGAACATCTTTTTGACGAGGACCTCGCACAATTTCAGGTAAACACATTGTTTTGTCCCTCTTGGTCGAAACGGAGCTAAACGTATGACTGATTAACTTAGCAAATGTGCTGAATGAAAAGCGCCTAGAAGACCACTTGAAAGGCACTGAGTGATTTTCCAATTCACTATTGTATAACAATAGGAAATGCCAGTGCCAAAATCCAAAAACCCTATGAATGAATAACTCACAATAACAGATCAATTGAGATTCACAGTAATTTTTGACAAAGCTGGAGCATTATTCTTAGGATTTCGTCTAATTTAATGGTCAATGCCTTTTGGGTTTTGGATTTTCGATGTCATGCACAGGAGAGTGCCCCTTGACATTTTCCTGAACGGAAGAAAAAGATTTCCTTTTCTGTCTGACTGACAGGCCTCCAAACAGACAAATGAGCATTCATCCAATTACATTTTGGAGAAACTATAGATACAAAGACACTTGAACACCTAAAGTTTTCTGTGATGTTGTTAGAGAATGCAACGGGAAAATCTGACAACGTGTACAGCATACTATTATAGTTGGCATAACTACACAAGTTACATGTGGGGACGCTAGAAAATCATGCAGACCTCCTCCTAGTCACAGAAGACTCCCTCATATATCCTATTGAAATGTTCAAACAGGGTCCAGCGCTTTACGCTTACAACAACGCACGGTTTACAAGAGAAGATTGGAGGGGTATTCGACTGCTCAGTGATAGCATCAAAGTGGAAGATCCAGTGAAAGTCGGTCGTTTTGGTCTGGGATTCAAGTCTGTATTTCACATGACAGGTACATGTATGTCGGGTACAACATTAATAAGTCTTCATTGTTAATATGGTAGATATATAAAAGATTTACATTTCAAACCTACTTAGCACAAAGTATTTTTTCAGAGATCTAAGACCAGATCATGTTTTTTATAACGCCATACTAAAAGAATCCACTGATCTCAATGATATGAAATCACAGAGAATCTAGGGTGCAGAGATTAACAATACACATGTAGTTCTTCACAACTGAAGCTGAGAGCCTACTTAAAGACCCACATCTGTTTATTGAACCTGTTGAATGTCCAACTTCCAAAGTAGCTGCAACGAGAAACTTTTACATTTCTGGTCTTTTAGTGAATTAAATTGGTCTATTTTGTTTAGAAATGTGAAACAATTGTTTCAATATTGAATTCAATATTCCCCTACTTAAAGGAAAGCCCTTCACACCATAGTGGTCCTCTTAGTTATGTTTGTGTTGCTCTTCTATCTCAGATTTACCAAGTTTACTCAGTGATTCCCAAATTGGCTTCATTGACCCTCATGGTGTTCACTTTTCTGACAAGCGCCACAGAAGAAC